GCAAAGATTTTTAAATTCCCCTGATAATTAATTCAAGAATGAGAATTACCACCAAATATTTGAGAAACTAAGTATTGCAAGTGAAAATCTAACAGTTCTGCAGCAAAACTGTTCTAGTAAATCTTTCGTTCTGTTTTCTTCTCCTCAGAGCCAAGTTTCTTGAAAGAATACTAGTTGCTCAGTATCTTTCTTACTCATTCTTAAACCAAATGGAATCTGGCTGCTGTCCCATTAATCCACAGAAACTGCTCTGGCTGAGTTTATCCACCAATGTTTTCAAATCTTATTTTACCTGATCTCTCTGTAGCATTTGACACTGTAAACCACTTGTCTCTTGGCTTCCGTAACTCCCACTCTCTTGTTTCCCTAACTCGTTTTTTTTTCTCTTAAGTCTTCACGACTCCTTTCTCTCCAATTCCTGAAATAATCATGCTCTCCAGTGAGCTCTACTTAGCCTCTTTCTCCTTTCATATTGAGTGTTCTAATGCACTCCCACAGTTTTACGGTAACTACCACAGGAGAGAAGTCTGGCCTGACAAGAAGATATTTTGGGTTCTCTGTCTCCCACAAGCCATCCCCCATACTGCTGACAGAGTAATCTTTCTATACAATACAAATGTGATCAGATAACTCCCCTTGTTTAAATCTCATTAAGAATAGAGTCCAAAATCTTTAGAATGAATATAATGCCTTCATGATCTGACCTGTGCTTACCTTTCTAATCTTATCTTTTCCCAGCTCATCACAATTTATACATAACTTTGTGTCTAGGTTTTTGTTCTTCAATTTGACTCCAATTCAACTGTCACCCCCCCTCTGTGAAGGGGAAGAGTAACTTGCTCTCCCCTTTCCCCTCTTAAGCATTCTTTCTATATAAATTCTGGAATGACATGCATTTACATCTGACTTTTCAATGAACACATTTAAAGGCACAACTGCAATAATATAAAAATAAATAAATAAAGACGAAAGACCTTGGAAACATTTGCAAAGGGAAAAGATTCAGTACACCAACAAAAAATAACTGAAGAACAGAAAAATGAGGAAAAGCAACTTCATTACAACTGTAACTGAGTAAACTCCTTTAAGGCTAAATGAAATCTACTCCTGTATATACAGAATAGCTAGGATCAAACCAACACCTATTAGATTTAATTTTAAGCTTGTCAAGATGCAATTTCTAACTGAAACCCGATATAAAAAAAAAATTATTCAACCTTTTCAGCTGCAGCTGAAAATGGAATGAACGACTTTTTACTGATAAGAGACACTGGCCTATGTTAGCACTCATCAGATTTGAAAATTTAAAACAGTAGTCACCCAAGAGAGACTTACACTAAGAAAGACTGACAAAGTATCTTAAGAGAAATTAAGAATGAAAATAAGAACTGCAATAGAATCTAGTTTATTCTATTTCTTTAAAGCTGCAACTAGCAAATCTTAATTATCGCAGAGAAAGAAATTATGGCAAAAAAAAAAACAAAAAACAAAAACAAAAACTCTTGATTCAGGCTACTTCACTTAAAGCTGCAACTAGCAAATCTTAATTATCGCAGAGAAAGAAATTATGGCAAAAAAAAAAAAAACTCTTGATTCAGGCTACTTCAGTACAAGACTATAAAAATGAACTACAGAATAACCCTCATTCTCTCTTTATATACTATTTGTAAAATTTTAAAAAGCCATTATTATAAGCATACAGTGGAAATATGAATTAAACAGTAAAATCTTAATTAAAAAAAAATCTGAATTAATAAAGCTTTGTATTACAAATTTTGTTTGCTCACGTTATACAAAAGTAGCTAGGAACTACGTTTTCCTTCTCAAATTCTTAAAAAGAACACCACCTCTAGAATGGAACAGTGATACTTCATGAGGAAAACAATGAACAGAGGACCAAAACAAGCATCCTTTTCTTAAGTGCGGCATCTGTGAAAAGAAAAACAGCAAGATAGCTCATTTCTGACAAGTTACTACAGAAACCAAAGTCACATAGGCAAACTGGATATTTTCCTGTACTTTTTTCACAACATCATATGCTTGTTTATTAATAAAGACATGTAAGCTTAACAATTAACAAAGGTATACAGCAAAGACTCAAATTGGTACTGAATGGACTGACAGAAGACACAGGCAGGAGGCAGGCAAGCCCACTCATCTTCCCCTTTTCTAACAGAGAATAAATTTTAAAAACACTTTGAGCTCCCACAGTACTTTTTACATACCGATCTGAACTTTTTAAACTAAACTGTAATTATTTATTTTCGTTCGTCTCCCCAACACAAATTACGAGTTTTATCTTTGCATCCTTAAAACACACGAACACTCACACACACTTAAACATCTTTTCTATTTTTGGATTCAGAATAGACAGCTAACAAATCCACGGACAAAAAAATAACTTGGGCAAAGGTTTTTTTTTTTTTTTTTAACCTTCTTGAAAGAACACTCACTGTCAAAAAGTTAAATAGTTACATGATTTTCTCTGTAACAATCCTGAAATGCTCCTAACCCAACTTTTGCTTGCAGAAGTAAGTTTTATCAAGACACTAGCATCAGAAGCTGCTGTTTCTTACCTAAACCTACATTCCTTGCCCCCTTTACACCATGACATCTGGGAAAGACCATTCTGCCCCTAAGTATTCTATAAAAAATAATTTTGAGTTTCTTCCAAATAAGTATTGCTACATATAAATTTCATATACAACATATTAAAAAATCATTACCCTATGGAAATTACAATCAGTAATGAAAGTCCTTAGGAAACTATTTTTATGCAGTAACTGCAGAGTATGTCAAGACATAGTTCTACAAACCCACCATAAAACAGGAAACCTTCAGATGACTGATTCCTCTGTATAAATCCTAAGTACATTCAATAATATTAAAGAAAACTAAGAATAAGGTTAGAGGGAGCAAAAATCAGATATTTTGCTATTTTCCTTCTCAATTTGTCCATAATCTCCACCCTCCCAAACGCACTCCCCATTCTAATATATTAAAACTAAAAAGCTGATAAGTTTCTCTTTCTCTCTTCGGCCAACATTTAGTCAGCACTAAGAGTTACAAAATATTCAAAAGTGAACACAGGAAATAGAGACATTAAGGAAGTAAAGCTTTCCAAAAAGATATATGAATTAAAAAGTTATGAGTTAACAGGACTGGTAAAATCACCGGGGTTTTTTGTTTGTTTGTTTTTTGTTTTGTTTTGTTTTCTCCTACTTTAAAAGGTAGCAATGAGAAAAATAAATCACGAAAGGTAAAAAAAAAATAAAACATAAAAAATAAAAAAAATAGAATCACAAGAACAGGAGGATTATGCATAATGAAAGTTTACAATTTTCAATGTCAAAATGCAATATGATATAAGCAACAGTTGTTTTCTCCTACTTTAAAAGGTAGCAATGAGAAAAATAAATCACGAAAGGTAAAAAAAAATAAAACATAAAAAATAAAAAAAATAGAATCACAAGAACAGTAGGATTATGCATAATGAAAGTTTACAATTTTCAATGTCAAAATGCAATATGATATAAGCAACAGTATTTACGACTATTTTTCTCCCTTTAACAACCTAAGTCAACTTCAAATAAAATACAAACCTCCTGTACCAGCAAAATACAAATGCTAATCAAACTTGAGTTTCTGATGTACTACTTCAAATCTAACTTGACTGTCAAAGATTCCACTACCTTACTCCAATCCATAACACGCTGTTAAAAAGCAATAAATCTTAAGAAACACGCTACACTGTGACACATGGGAATTACCAAAGAACAACTTACTTTAAGCACTGGACACAGGGACCAATAAGCGGTCTGATGATTCACAAAAGTTACACTCATCTCACAGACCTACGCTAAAGGGAATTTTAGTTAGTGACACACCCAGGGCAGACCGCCACATTAAGGATACAGCTCTTCCGAGGTGGAGAGGGCTCTCGCCAGCTCTGACTGCTGCTGAATCCGGATCCCGCTCCTCCTCCCAGAGGAGGTCTGCCCCCTGGCTTGCCTCCTCGCTCACCCACTCCTCGCCCCCGACTCCAGCGACTCCCACCCCGGTAAGGCCTGCCTCGAAAGCGGAAACGGTCCAAGGCGATGTGGCTCCGCTCCCAGAAAGACGGCCGGGGGCTGCTTTCGGTCAGTGAGTTCGAAGGCACCCGCACGGAGGGCGGGTGAGACCGGAACGGTTCTTTGGGTCGGTAGCTGCTGTGTCCCCTGAGGTGGCCCCGCTCCGACGCGTGCCGCGAGCGTGAGAAATTCCTCAGCTGTTGCTGAGAAGAGGACGATGACGAGGAAGAGCCACCGCCTCCGCCGGATCCACCGCCCCGGGCCGGGTGAGTTGGCCTTCGCCGCAGATACGGTAACAACCCGCCGCCGCTGCTACTGCTACTGCTCCGGCTCCGTATCTGACTGTTATTATCGTCGTCACTGATCTCCCCATCTTCAAGCTCCCCTTCTTCCTTCGGCGAGAGGCCGCTGGAGGCCAGGGCCGGAGTATCCACAGCCGCCATCCGGGGAGCAGCGCCTTCCACACAACCTTACCCTCCGTCCTGGGATCCGCCCCACGGTTCCCTTTCTCCTCGGCTCCCTTTCTTAAAGGACCCGGTCACTGCGGCCTTACCCCTATACGGACAACTAGCGGGCTCTGCTCCCCAACTTCCCCGCACCCCAGCTCTTTCTCGTCGGACCGTCGCAACCCAGTTCCACCTCCTAGCGCCCCCTTGCACCTCAGCAATCGGGGATCTTCCGCCTCGCGAGAAAGGGGCTCTAAAGCGGCTGTGTCCGAGACGTCACTTCCTGCGATACGTAGGAAACGAAACTCCCATTCACGCGATAACAATGAGGCCAACGCGATGCTTCCTGGGATTTGTAGTCTTTGTCTCTCACCCGATTTTTTTTTTTTTCTTCTGGACTACGATTCACACCCACTCAAGGCTCTGGACTGGGACAGATAGGTGTGTGGAGAGGTTGGCCGATCTGCTCTTGGCTGTAACCTTCCGAGAGTTTCATGGTACATAATCGGAGGGGAAAACAACCTCTTCCTTTTAATTGCTCCGGGGCCGCTGCCAAAGAGACGCAGTGGACCTACTCTCTTTTGGGGGTAAGGAGAGGGAACGGGTTGTGTCCGCCATGTTGGTGAAGGCAAATGGAGGCGACTGGAGCTCCACGACTGTCAGCTCTGCTGGCTCAAGTCCTCCATATTAATAAAGAGAAAGGGAAGGTTGACCCTTCCTCGTCCTCCCCCTCCCCTCCACATACACACCCCTTTTTCCCCACACAACTCTCACGACTAAGCTCAGTGGGCCTTTCGCCTGCCTCGATTGTCCAGCCTTTGCCAGAAGGAAGTTTAGCATCCAGCGCCTCAGAACAGGCTTAAGACAGCGCCGAATGAGGGGGAAAGAGAAATGCCGACCAATTGCGCCGCGGCGGGCTGTGCTACTACCTACAACAAGCACATTAACATCAGCTTCCACAGGTAACTTGGGCAAGCAGTGGGGGTGACGGAAACGGGAGCTCCTAGTCTGGGTATCGTTTGTGTGGAAGGAACAGGAGGATTCTACTAATTCTAGTAACTTTCCCAGCGGGTAGCAGGAAAACATCATTTTCGTCCTTTGTGTATGTTTCTCAAATCTGTTCAATTTTTCTCTCCCTTTGGGGAAGCTTTGCTCACTCTCTTAAAAAAAAAAAAAAATCCAAGTACTGGATAGTGATTACCACTTAAAGAAAAAGTGATAGGAGGATACCTTCGTTTTCTATTTTACTCCTATATATTAGACTGTGTCTAGACATGAAGGACGCCATAAGGGAGAGAGATCTTCCCGTTCAAGTCATCAATCACCTTAAAAGCCTGCTGTGTTCCCGTTAAAATCTGGAAATTCTCACTAGCTTAATTGACGTGACAAGCATTTAGATTTCTAATAGGCACACACAGTAACTGCGGAGGAACTGAGTCATCACTGATAGCCGTGGAATTACCTTATTAAAAGATAACCACTTAAAAAAAAAACAGCGATGTTTCTGTTTTTAAACTACTTCATGCAAACGTAGTGCTTTATTCATTTATCCAAGAAATATGTACCGTGTTCCTAATTAGCTAACATTGTGCTAAGGATCCATAAATTTCTTACCCTCTTGGAGTTTAGAGTTTAGTGGGGGAGAAAGACATAAATAAATACTGACAGTTAAGTGCCACAAAAGAGACGTTGAGAGAAACCTAACAGCGTTGGAATGTCAAAGAACACTTCTCAAAAGATGTGACATTTCAAATGAGACCAAAGGATGACATACATTTGGTCCTGTATACTACACTTTCCTAAGAGTACTTGAGAAGCTGTAGTGGAGGTTTAAAAAGAAGAATGGCATGAGTAAATTTTCCTATTAAAAAGCCCTCTGGCTGCAGTATGGAGAATTATAGGATTAAAGTGCTGGTCAAGCATCATTAGAGATGAACTTGATGAGAAAAGAGCTTATTACAGAATGTTAAGATACTTACTGTTTCCTCCACAGGGAAATCCTGGTCAACTGAACTAAACACTGCTCTTAGTGGCTAGCACAACCAGCACTGGATTAGGGGAGGTGAGAGTTGATAAAGAAAAACTAATTAGGAAGCCATAGTAAAACAAGGGGAGTCTACCCAGTGGCCCAGACTAGGGTGGTATTGACAATAGGGATGGAGAGAAAGGGACAGATTTGAGAAATGTTTGAGGAGAAACTACTGAATTTGGTAATATGATTTGGAAGATTAGAGAGAGGGAAGAATCCAGGCACCAATAACATTGTTTAAGAGATGCACAGTGGTGGTAAAAGAACATGCTGTTATGGAATTAACATTTTTATGTTTAACCTCAGAAATTTAAGTCTTAGAATAGCATTAATTATAATAAAAATACATTACTATTTCATAAATACAAACAGTATTTAATTAACTCCTGTCCTCCTAGAACATTAGCAGACTTCTTTATCCCGTGTACAAGTTATGTTGCCTAAACTTACTGTCTCCGTTTTTGTTATCTCTTAGCCCATTCTATCTAGTCTAAGTCTCTCCAATAATCTGATACTGCTCTTAACATGACCTCTATATCTCTCTACATTTTTCATGGCATGTGATTATTTCCTCCTTGAAATACTTTCTACTTTTGAAATACGTGACACTAATTTTGTGATTTTCCTCTTACTTCTTTGACCTATCTTCAATTTCTTTTGCCAGCCCTTCTTACCAACTTCTAATCTAGGTCTTCACACTCTCATCAAAATAATTTCAACTATTCCTGTGGTCTCAGTAAACAGCTACTCGTTGATGCCTCCCAAATGAGTATCTCCAGCCCATATCTCTCTAAGAAGTTCCAAACTTATAGGCCAAGTATCTACTCAGTATTTCCCCGGTCTCCCTCCAGTTCCCCAGATTCAACTTCTGTGTTGATGAACTGTCCTTCCCTCAAACATACACCACATCCTGTATTCCCTTTCTTAGTAAATGGAAATACCATCCACCCAGAAACTTGGAAGTCATACTCCCTTGTCACCATTCCCTCTTGATTGGATTATTACAACAGCCTATTAACTGGATCACTGCTTCCATTCATGCACACCTAGCCATACTTCTATAATCAATAGTGTGTTACTAAATGTTTAACTGGCTCTCCAGGGAAGGGAAAAAGCCCTGATTTGTAGTGATTGCCCAATTTCCATGATATAAATACTCCTTCCAAGGCTGGTTTCAAGCTACCAATATGGCATCCTGATCATGGAACTGGAAAGAAATATACAGTATCACACTACTCTTTAGTATTTCCACCATACAGATTTACAACAGACATAACCTTAAGAGTATAGATAATAGTAAAATAATTAGGAAGTTGTGGGTTTTTAGTATTTATCATCTTTGGTTTTGATGTATCTAATTACAAATTTATATCATCTAATTTTTAATAATGGCTATGTTTAACAACATATTAAACATTTATTCAGGGCCGGCCCGTGGCTCACTCGGGAGAGTGCGGTGCTGATAACACCAAGGCCCCGGGTTCGGATCCCATATAGGGATGGCCGGTTGGCTCACTGGCTGAGACTGGTGCTGACAACACCAAGTCAAGGGTTAAGATCCCCTTACCAGTCATCTTTAAAAAAAAAAAAAAAACATTTATTCAAAAATTTTCTAACAATCAGTTCTCACAATTTGGCCCTTTAATGGCATACCAATGCCATTTTGGATACAAAATTTCTCTTTGACTTAGAAGGCTATCCATCATCATTTTATGTCATAATACTCTTCCCTGTCCCCAAGATACTCTTAACACTCTTCACCACTCCCATCTAACTTCCCTAGCTAATTCTTACTCTTTTAAGGCCTCCTGACTAGATTAGTTCTTCCTATTTTATGGTTCCATGCAACCCTGTACTTATCCTTTTATAAAACTCCATGGACACTTGTAATTACTTTTTTTTTTTTTTTCCTCTTTGTCTTTTTTCGTGACCGGCAACAGATCGCAACCCTCAGTGTCGCGCCCGTACCGGACCGGGACCGGCCACGGGATCGCAACCCTCGGCGTTGCTCCCGCCCCTTGCTCAGCCAGTGAGTGGCCGGTCTGTATGTGGGATCCGAACCCTCGGCGGGAGCACCACCACGCTTCCCAAGCGGCGCACTATAGCAGTGCGCCACCGGGCTGGCCCGTAATTACTTTTATAATAATAATAAGTAACACTTATTTAGTATTTACCATGTACTGTGCACTGGGAAGCATTTACTCACATTTTCTCATTTAATCCTTAGAAACACACTGGTACCATTCTTACATAACTTTATAGAATGATGATACAAAGGAGACCTAAAAAGTTTAAATAATTTGCCAACATCACCCAGCTGTTACTCAAAGGAGACAGGATTAGAGCCCTGTTATATTGCATCAAGCTATTCAATTCTCTATCTTCCCCCATTACAGAATATACTTATAGAGGATAGGTACCATGTCTGTTTTGTTTACTACCATGTCTTCAGTGCCCAGGACAGTGCTTGAAATGTAAGAGGTATTCAACTGTTTAATAAAGACACAAGCAAAATAGCACTGTTTAAAATAGTGATTTTCCAAAACATGTAATGTTTATGAAAGCTTGGTTCTATTATTGTGTAGACAAGAATATATCCATCTGTTTCCAATATGTTAATTTTTTAATATCTATAGAATGACTTGTTATTACTTAGATTAAACTTATGGGCTACCTCTCCCACCCTTTGAATGTGCTGAGAAAAATCCAAACAACACATGCTAAATATGATTAAGGTTAGTGCTGTATAAAGTCATTATACCAAAATAAAATATAAAATTATTCTTTTTTATTGATATAATTGTACATATTTATGTGCTAATTATTCTTACTCTATTTCAGCACAAATAATTTAAAGATTATTTAATAATGTCCAGTTAACCCCATTAGTTCATTCATTCATTCACTGAAACACTCAGAAAAGTTCATTGAGTGCTTAACAGATACTATGAAAGATACAATGCAAGACCTGGGGATAAAGTAGTAAAAAAATATGGCCCCTACCCTAGAGAAACTTACAGTTCTAGTAGGGAAAATAAAGTAAACAATTAGAATACAGTAATATTAGTGCTTTATTACATAGCAACATCTAACTCAGTCTTCTGATCATGGAAAACTTCCTTGGTACAATGAGTGCATACTCATATATTTTGCATTTGAAATTAATAAGAAAGGAGAAAGAAAAAATTAAAGAAAAAAACAAATAAAAATAAAAATGAGCTAAAGAAAAAAGAAAAACATAAGTATGAAAGGAAAAACATTGCTACAAAGCATTTTACCTTTTTGTAATTATGCCTTCTGCTGCACTACATAACTTGAGTTGATTTTTTTTTTTAATATATGCAGCTTAACTACATGGAAGTAATATCATGAATTATTAATTTAAATATTCTGTATTCATATTAATTTAGCAAATTTTTGTTGAGTCCCTACTGTTCGCAAGGCACTGTGCCAAAGACAGATGAAAAGATATGATAATGATCTTTGTCCTCAAGAAATTTATAATCTTTTATTTCACTGGAAATTTATTAAAATGGAAAAATCACAAAACAATGTAGTTAGTGTCATAGTGACGGAACACAGAGGAAGGAGTACCAGAATCTGCATAGGCTTTCCTTGATAAAATTTAATCTTTAGGTATCTGCTTTGTCTAGACCATATATATACACCAGCAGCATATCAAAGCATTGTGAAATTACTCCTGCTTATAATGGTTTTACATAAACTTGATCTAGATCAGTTTAGTCATGTTTTATGTTACTGCCCGTGTTAAGAACTAGATTGGGAAGAAATGTCTCTCTTGAAAGCCATTAAAAATAAAACCATTCAAGTCAGTTTTTACTAATATTTTTATAACATAAATATTACCATGATTTGATTTCTGTTCAAGTGTCTGGATATTGTAAGGTAAAAATTTTTTGTGTAAATGGGTGACAGTTTAAATTATCACCTTTTAAATTTCTTTTAACCATTTAGGTGTAACCAGAAGTATGATAGTTGGAATTTGAGTTGTCTTTTTTTTCCTTAAGGTTTCCTTTGGATCCTAAAAGAAGAAAAGAATGGGTTCGCCTGGTTAGGCGCAAAGATTTTGTGCCAGGAAAACATACGTTTCTTTGTTCAAAGCACTTTGAAGCCTCCTGTTTTGACCTAACAGGACAAACTCGGCGACTTAAAATGGATGCTGTTCCAACTCTTTTTGATTTTTGTACCCACATAAAGTCTATGGTAGGTAATGTTACTCTCCTTTTTTGTTTTTTGTTTTTTTTAACCAATTTTAGAACCCATTTCTTTTTGTTTATGCAATGGAGCAATTCAAAATATACTGAAATTCATATATAGTGATATGCCTCAAGAAAATTGCAGACCTTCCTCTCATACAATAAGAATTAGGTGTAGGCTAGAATTAGAATTAGATTGGGATTCTTTCCCCAATCCAAATTGTTTTACTATATTGAAATTTTACATTACTACAATTATTATCAGTAATTGCACCATTGGTAAAACTGAGAAATCATATCAGTAACGAAACCTCCAGCATTAGGAGGTTTCTGCTCTGATTTTAAAATATGACACTCAAATAATATGCTAAGCGCTTTAAGAGCAGCACACCCAGAGTCACACCAAAGTATATAAGTTCAGTGGGAGGCATAATAGAAAACTTCATAGAGTTTAGGCATTTACGCTGGGCCTGAGGACTAGGGAGTTTGGAGATTAGGTGAGGTTCTTGACCTTGAACAGAACAATTGCAACTGCGTGGTAAGAACAAAAGCCAATGGGTTGAGTGGTAAGTGGGAAATAACCAAATGTTAACAAGTGATATTTAAAAGGAAGGAGAGGGGCCGGCCCGGTGGCGCACTGGAGAGTGCGCCGCTTGGGAGCGCAGCAGCGCTCCCGCCAAGGGTTCGGATCCCATGTGGAGACCGGTTCCCGCTCACTGGCTGAGCGCGATGCAGGCGCAACACCGAGGGTTGCAATCCCGTTGCCGGTCCCCGGTACGGGAGCGACACCGAGGGTTGTGATCCCGTTACCGGTCAGTAAAAAAGACAAAAAGGAAAAAAAATAAAAAATAAAAATAAAAGGAAGGAGAGAATTAAGATATAGGATGAATGAATTAAAATGTTTTATCTAGTTAGGGAAGATCTGATCAAAGAGGAAACCTAGCTGAGAAAGACAGGGTCACAAAAAGTAAAAAGGGGTAGAATGAACACTGTCTAAAAGGACAGACATCTTTTCTCTTGAGAGAAGAAACAACAGCTTTTCTTGAGTTATTTGTGACAGTTAAATTTGTAAATGTACATGAGTTGCTATTTGAATGGGAGAGGAGTTGTGAACTAATTATCACAGATGTTAGAAAAGATGTTAGAAAAGTTCCAGGAGGGCAAGAATTTTGTCTTTTTCACTTCTGAATCCCCAGCACCTCAAATAGTGCCTGGGGCATATTATGCACTCAAATATTTGTTGAATTTGAAATGCACCTTTTTTAGACATTTGATCATTCATTCATTCAATAAATACTTACTAAACTTTACATTTTACCAGAATCTAAGTTAGATGCAGGGGATATAAAGATCAAAAAAGTTCCTGCCAATTCCTTAAACAGAGGGACCAACTGTAGGTTTCATGAAGACAAAAATCATAGTTTTCTTATTTGTTCACCATGTGTCCCCAGGAATTCACAGTATGTGTTTTAATAAATGTTTATTTAATGAATGAAAGACACAAATTATGAGGGTATGATTTAATCTGGGAACTGTAAGTGGTTTAGTATTGCCAGAATATAAACCAAGATGGCAAAATGGAGCAAGATCCTAATGATATTAGTATACAGGTAAAGGGTTTTTTCCCTTTAGATAATGGATAGGAAAAAAGAAATTTAGCCAGAATAGAGATGTCAAATCTGCTAGAAAAATCATTCTAGTGACAGAATACAGATTAATGAGGATCAAAATGAGGTGGAGAGATCAATAAAGAACAACATAGTCAAGCCAGATATGATACTGGCCTGATATAGGTGGTGGCATTAAGAATGACAGAGAGTAGAGGATTCATGATAGAAATAGTTATGCTGTAGAATTAATAGGACTTGATGACTATTTGAATGAAAGAGATAAAGATAAGAAAGGCTTCTCAGGTTTCTGATTTGGGCAAAAAGTTCCTAGCCAGATTTTAAATTCTTGAAGATGTAATGGTGAACATTGAACAGAAGACGTAGAATTAATAGGACTTGATGACTATTTGAATGAAAGAGATAAAGATAAGAAAGGCTTCTCGGGTTTCTGATTTGGGCAAAAAGTTCCTAGCCAGATTTTAAATTCCTGAAGATGTAATGGTGAACAGTGAACAGAAGATTAATGCTTGAGAATATGTTTCTATGAATCTTTCAATTTTTATTAAGTAGGACCCCGGGTCTGAAATATTCATCAAATTGAGAAAATAGTATTTAACTAAAAGAGGGATCATAATAGTATCACAGATAAACAAAATACCTAAATACAGTCTAAACTGGCCTTAGTAAGAAAATTGCAAATGATTTTTAAAGTCTTCATAGAATCATACTCAGTAATTTGGAAGAGACCTTGGAAGTCCATAGTCTTTTCAAATCAGTTTTTGAATCTCTCTGAAAAGAGAGGACAAAAATAAATTTGTGACTAGGGTTAATTCAACCATGGAAACTCAATCCACTATTACATGAGATGGACTGCTGCTGTTTGCTATCAAACTTTTAAAATTGATTCCTACAAGAGCAATTTAAATACTCTGTTGTCCAAAACTGGACAGCATTTACTTATTTATGATATTCCCTAATTTATGTTCAACCCTCTAATTTTGTTTGGCTCAGAAACTCAAGTCAAGGAATCTTTTGAAGAAAAACAATAGTTGTACTCCAGCTGGACCATCTAATTTAAAGTCAAACAGTAGTAGTCAGCAAGTACTACTTGAACATAGTTACGCCTTTAGGAATCCTATGGAGGCAAAAAAGAGGATAATTAAACTGGAAAAAGAAATAGCAAGCTTAAGAAGAAAAATGAAAACTTGCCTACAAAAAGAACGCAGAGCAACTCGAAGATGGATCAAAGCCACGTGCTTGGTGAAGAATTTAGAAGCAAATAACACATTACCTAAGGGCACATCAGAACACATTTTACCACCTGCCTTAAGTAACCTTCCTTTAGAAGATTTCAAGATTCTTGAACAAGATGAACAAGATAAAACATTACCAATTCTCTAATCCTAAAACATACTGAGAGTACCTTCTCTTAAGTTTAGCTTGCACAGAACTTAATGCCCATCCTTCATTCTTTTCAGAGGTAAAGATATTTACAATTATGCCAAAATTGAGTATTTAATAAATTTTTACTTGAAGTAACGTTATTACTGTATAACTGATGAAGACTTGATTACAAAAAAAATAAAATCCTTCTTATGAGAATTTTATTTGAAAATGAATGTAAGTGCCTTACATGAGAATTACATACATAAAATTTTTGCTAGGATATTATGTGTTTGCAAGGTGTTTTGTGTTTTTGTCTTTTTAAACTACTATTAAAGAATAGCCTATGACAAGTATTATGTTTAATTTATGCTAGAAAAAAATTTTTTTCTGCACCAAAGTTGGTATATTACATTCTAAATAAGATGCTAAGTAGGAGTTAACCAGCATTAAATGTGATCTTAAAACTGCTGGGTTTTGTATTAATTATTATTGGCACAATGATGTGAAAAATTCATAGAAAAAACCTGAGGTACAGGGCAAGCTCTTTCATTTAAACTTTCTGATTTTTCTTTTACCAGTAAAAGTGAGCTTATCATGGTCTCCCACATAAGAATATTAGATTTTAAAATAGGCTGTAAAATTTTTGGAAATAATATTTCTGAATGTGAAGTACCTTTCAGTCATCCAAACTAGGTAAGGCCTCAAGTACCTCAGACTAGTAAAACCTGGTAGCTGATGATATTCACCTTCTAAGAAAACACTTGTGAAATAATGCAAAGTTCAGGATCTAGCTTTTACCTTAAATGAAGGAATAGAGGGCTGGCTGGTTAGCTCAGCTAGTTAGAGTAAGGTGTTAAAACCCCAAGGTCAAGGGTTCAGATCACCATACTGGCCAGCTGCCAAAAAAAAAAAAAATAGATAAATGTATACTACTCTTTCTCATAATAAAAATATTACGTTTCCAACTTCAAAATTGGTGCATTAATAAGCAAACATGTTACCAAGTTCCATGTTAGGCATATCCTGTTTCCATGTGTGTTAATACTAAAACTCTTAAGCTTTTTTTCTTTCTTAACTACTTTACAATTACATTCTACACCTCAGAAATAACATAACAGTATAGTGGGCTTCCCCCCCCCCTTCATAAACCCACGGTAAAATTTAATCACTATTTGTAACTTAAAATAGAATCAATTTATCTTACACATCAGCTTTTTATCTCTTGTTTTTATCTCCTTTTTTAGTGAGTCAAATAGAGCAACCATACTGCATAAGGGAAATGACATGTAGTTCTCTGTAAAAATACATGTATGTCTGTGACAAAGCTATGCAAATGTTAATTATTTTATAAAATAAAAATATCAGAACTATTCTTATGGTTGCCACTTGAACAATTAAAGGGTTTGCCTTATTTCACCAAATGTTTAATAAGAATCCTTTCCTTCAAACAGCTTTGGCCAAATCGTATAAAAATTTATTAATATATAATCAAGTTGTTTAACCCTAAATGAAGCCTGTGATACTACCATATGAAAGAAGCATATACCTAATCATAAACTGCTTTAAATCTTTCCTATAAAGTAATAGCTACTTCATGATAAAAAAAAAAAAAACCGTCTATTGCTTTTTAAAAAATATTTGCTTGAATCCTAGCAGCAATCTTTTCACAGCATTAGCACTCTTTTAGTAAGGAACATCTCCCAAGCAAATGTAAATGTAGGAAAAGTCTCAAATATTTACAAAAATACTTTCGTGGATGGTATAAAACTTGTTCATCATTTTCTTTATCTTAAGTAATGGACGTAGTTTGTTAGAATTATTATTACGTGTTTTTTTCTAACATGGTTTTAAATACCTTTTCACCAGTATATAATCATCAGCACTTACCGTATTTACTTGACAACTCAAAATAAGGTAGGCAAAGAATCATTTGAATTCAAACTATATTTTCAAACAATAGACTCTCATGTGGTTCACGCCCCACCCCAAATACAAAACAAAACACTTTAATTAATGCAGCCCAGTTCTCATCTACAATAATATCTTGGTTTCTTAATATAACACTTTAAAAATCATAAAAATAAAACATTGTAAAATACAGCAAGCTTTTAGTCTTCATTATTTGACACCACTGAATAAACCACCAGTAAATTTTTGTGTGTTTTCTGTGTCATTTTCATGTTACTGTCCTTATAACATACTCCAAACCCTCCCTTCATCAAATTGTTTTATTAGCATACATCTGTCTGCCTTAAAACCAGCTTCATTCATAGAGAAAAACCTAAAAGGAATCTCTTAAACTCTGTCTTCAGTTGTTGATAGATTTCTTATCACTCTGACCATAAATCATAAAACTAATCAAAATTATAATAGCTCTTTTTCCTCTGCTAGACACAGCACATCCTCTGTTAATTCATTCTGCATCTCCAGGGCACTAAGCTCTACAAAGAACCAGCAAAAGGCTAGGAACTTGATATAAAGATGAATATGACATAATCTTCTACTCTCAAGTTGCTCAAAGTCTCCTGAGAGAAACTATTTATAACACAATCTGATAAATGTTGTAAAAGAAATAGGTGCAAAGTGCTTTGGAAAACACTGTTGAGGATTGGAATTCAAAGAGAAATACGCTTTAGGTGTTCTTATAATCAAATGGTTTTCTTTTGAAACAAAACATTTTTTTCTTAAAATGACTTACCAAACGAGGTAGGACATTGGTGTTTGACCTGAATTACAGTGTTATTTATTTTTAATGAGTTATAATATATTTTTACCTTTTAAGATGAACACTGAACAAATTTGTTGTTAAAAGGAAAACATAACTATAAATAAAATACTGCATCAAAGCCAAGTACTGGAGTTTATTTGAAATTTGATAATTTTTACAAGATAATAAACCCCACTAACAGAGATATTTAAAATAATTTAACTCAGAGTCTTACAAAACAATTTGGCACCCATTCATTCTTACTTTTTGCTTACAACTATTCTGTGTAGTAGGTGGTATTATCTCTGAAGTATATCTGGTGGTATTACATATGAAGGAATACTTAATGTAATTTATTTATTCATTCATTTACTATGTGCAATTTATTTATTCATTCAGACATTTATTATGTGCCAACTTGCACATGGGGTTGCCTATGATCTAGAATGTTCTAGGTTGAACACAGGTCTTCCACCTTCAAATCCCCTCTGTCCTCCATATTCTAACCCTCTGTTTAACATATGACTCATGTTATTAAAATAAGACAAATCATATGTCTCAAAAAATGAAAATAAGATAAAATTTTATATATATTGTAGTAAAGATAGTCTGTGAGGTCATTGTTGATCTTTTCTAGGCAGACTTTATAATGTTTGGTGTTTTATCTCATTTCTCAATGTTAGAATACGGGTAAATTTTAATTTGTGTATAATATAGAAAATGGTTCATCTTTATACCAGAATGTGGGATTCTTTTGATATCTGGACAGTTTGGAAGCTTTCTAAAATTAAGGATTTTGTAATGTATATTCAACATTGCATACTGTATTCACAAAAATGTATTCTAAGTATGTTGATATTAAAAACTTTTTTCTAAGGAATTTACTGTCATGCCTGTTATTTCCCCAAAAAAAATACACAAATATTTCTGTGTAAGTTCTTCCCCTAAAATGACTCCCTAAAAGACTTCTATAGAAGTTCTTCTCCCTAAATTGAACCAAATTGTTAAGCCAAATAAAGATATGTAAAGTCTTGAAGAGGAATTGTTTTTACTTTTGTTGTTCAAGTTATGTCTAAACATAGATTATGTTTAATTACATTGTTTTAAATACTGATTATACAATCTAGACCAGATATATGAAGGGCTATAAAAATTCTCTAAGAGTCTATCCTGACAGTAATTTGAGGCTCGCACGAAGACTTATTTGTAAATTATCAAAGCATTATTTTAATAACAAAAAGGAAAGAAGATTGATTTTTCTTAATAATTTTTTCTTATTAAAAAAATTTTTTAATACTTTAAAAAAATACTATGTGGGGTACTGAATAAGCAAGTTGACAAAGTCCTTGCTATTCTAGGGAAGCCAGCAAGGCTGGCATCCCTTTTGCCTACTTCCCCCTTCTCCTTCCCTTTGAGGTCTGACCTTTGATTGAACCCAGGACCCTGGAATCTTTGTAAATGAGAAACTTACGTTCTTATTTTGTTGATAAGTAGTTAGTTATGAATTTTCAAGCGCTGTGGTAACTGAAAATGTTCTGTTCTATAAATAGCTTGGTAGCAGATATAATTGATTTAATCAATGTGATTTGTTATTTCACTGGCTTACAAAAAGGAACTTAAAATAAACTAAGATGCCTTGCAGGCCCAGCAGCCTGCAGGGTATTCCTGATCCCATCTAAGATCGTGTCTTTCTTCATTTCCCAACATCTCTCTTGGAGTACTGGTCGACAACAATACTATCTTATTTTTTAACTTTTTTTTTTGAAACATAATTGAAAAAAATACCATCTTAACATTCACTAAGAGACATTGAGCAAAACCTAGGATGAATCAGATGGAAATGGTCCCTGTCCTTAAGACCACTGGAAAAAAATACTCCATTTGTTTATTCCTGCCCTCACTGCTCCCCACCCTCTCCTTAATGCCCTTTTAGAATGAGTTGAATCTGATACAACAAATCAGTCTTCAAATTGCTGCCTGTCCTTTTAAAATTGTGCTCCAGAAGTTAAAAAAAAAGGGGGTGGGGGTGGGGGGGTTAATGTCAAGAAGGCAGGTGTGTGCCTATCTCCCAGATTTTCAGTTTAATTATTTAGCAAATATTCCAAATCTTGTTATCTCTAACTCTTCTCCATTCTCTTGAACTTCCAATTTTCATGCTTTTCTTATCCATCAAAGCTTTACAAACCCTCTTTCACTTCGTTTTGCCACTTAGCAAACTCCTTGTCATCCTTCAAGTCTTAGCACAACTGCTCCCTCTCATGTGTGACACCTTCCCTAAGCATACCAAAGTGACATGTGTTTTTCTCCTTGAGTCCTATTTTATACATAGCTTAGACAAAGTCATCATCTTAACTACAATGTAATTGTCTACATGTCTGTTTTCATCTTCTATGTTCCTTCAAGGCACAATGTGTGCATGTGTTGATTTTTCTTTTGGGGGAGTAGGGAAGGACCTCAGGGGTCAGATATGTATGTATTAGGCACTCAAATATTAGCAGATTTCAGAAAATCTAAACCACTCCCTTGGCTTAGATTCAAAGGGATTGTACATAAAATCCACTGATTTTTTCCTAGCAAACAGTAAATGCTTTTTGCCATTGGGATAATTTTTGCAATTAGTATTAAGTACCAAATGTCTATCCTAGAAAAATCCAAACTTCTTTATACCAAAAATCACTTAAACATAATAGGTATTAATATTATGAAATTGAAAGATTTTTAGTGCAACAATGAATTTTCAGTCTGTTCTACGATTGCAACAATAAGTCTCAAACTGTTATGTTTTCTACAGAAAGGTATTTGTGATAAAGACAGAATTAACTCTAATGGAAACATTTAAACAAATATGTTCAAGTTTTTTAACTTCTCAGAGGCTTTAATAATGAACTCTCACTGTCCTATAAGGATATAAAATTTCCCAACCTTAAATTTGATCAGAGGTGTTTTTGGGGAGTGTGTTTAGCATACCTACTAATAACTTGAGGAATAGTTTAGGAAATGCTTAACAAAAAAAAACTGTTGCTAGAAAACGGCTTTTAAAGTAAGTGGAAAAACAAAGACTTTGTTGAAATTTTTAAGATCAGAGTAGTCTACCTATAAAAATTATGACAGTAAAATCATGATTTTTTTTAAAAGAGAAGTATACAGTAGTTCCCCCTTAGCCGTGGGGGATATGTTCCAAGACCCCCAGTGGATGCCTAAAACCTCAGTACTGAACCCTATATATACCATGTTTTTTTCTATACAGACATACATACAGTAAAGTTTAATTTATACATTAGGCACAGTAAGAGATTAACAACAATAACTAATACTGGAACAATTATAACAATATGCTATAATAAAGGTAAAATAAGGGTTACTTGAACTCTACAGTCGATCGGATAACCAAGAAGGCTATTAAGTAACAGTTAGGATATGCTGGACAAAGGGATGATTCGTGTCTGGTGGTATGCAGCGGGAGAGCATGGAATTTAAAACTTATGAATTATTTCTGGAATTTTTAATTTAGCATTTTTGGAACGCAGCTGACCGCAGGTAATGGAAACTGTGGAAAGCAGAACCACAGATGTGAGGCTACTGTATTTTAACTACATTAATTCTCCCAAATAGTTTCAGTCTTAAGCTAGAATAACTTGTTTTATGGAGTACAACCCCAGTAATTTAACACTGGAAAAAATGGAAGAAAAATATTTGAAGGGTCAGTTCACACGCACTATCATTTAATATGCAATTTTAGCCAGATCTAATAGTCATGAAAAAGAGGAAATCATCCCTGAAATCCAAGAACTGACCTGATACAGCTAGATCACACTGTTCTTAGGAGACTGCCTGACACACCAAGGCCATGGTTATCTCATGGAACACCAACTGATCAGACAAGGTCACCCTATGTCTGTGATGAAGTCAAAAAGAAAAAAAAAAAAAAGACCAGTTCATAATTTTGTCTAAGCAGAGACAAAAACAAGGTCACCATGCAAACCACAAAAGCATTAGCTTTTATTGTTAATAACTTTACCCAATATTCTGGTAACAATGATATTGTCCAGTCAGCTTGGTGAGGTAATCCAATTCATTACCTATGCAAAACAGACTGAGACAAAAATACAGTAGGCACAGGATGAATTTCTGCATAAAGACCATATATGAGTGGTCTTAAAAAGTTCATGGAAAGATTCATATTATCTTTTATTTTCCCACGAACTTTTTGAAGTATCCTCACATGCATGTGGTTTAGTAAGAGAAGGCCATTACTATTTAGTCCTACTTCACAGATTTGGTTCTTAGTTAACTCGTTAGATACTTACCAAAGGAAAGGGCAGTTGTCTTGGCATGTATTTTGAAATTTAAAATGTGAGTTTTTAAAAAGCAAATACCCAGAGGTTGGAACACAATTGTATGTCTGAAACTGACTTGTCTCTTCTTACACTATCAGCAAAATTAACTGAAAGAAATAAAAAATATGATGTAATTATCAGTTACTATTAACCCAGGCAAACAAGTTAATTTCAAATAAAACATGAAATCGGCCACAAGACTCAGATTTTAAATCCTAACATGTTCTGCTTTCTAAATGAATAGACTGAATGCAAACACTGTAAATATGAGGAGTGTGGGGTAGATATTTCCACAATGTAAGTGGTATTATGACAAAAATTATTTGAGAGCACAGTAGGAAGAAATATATTTAGCTTCATTTTTACATCTAGCAGCCAGCAGAGTTCGGCACATTATAGGTACCAAATAGTGTTGTTTTAAGTGATTTTCTAAGTCACAAAATTCCGTTTCTACAACACAGTATATTCCCCCCTCCCCCCCATATAACATCATTTGGCATAAACTCCTTATAGATTAAGCAGCATCCGAATATTATACTTGCAACGAACTTACTGGGTCTAAATTCACCTGCATTTTGTTATCCTATTACTACCTTGGTGGTGATTTAACTTTGGGGCGTTTAAGGATGTCCCCAAACGCAAGGACTTAAGCTTCCAGGTATCCACAACCTGAGGAGCACTGCAAGGGCAGCCGGCCGCGGTCCAGCAGTCCACGGGCAGGTCCGCCAGGCTCGCCCTTTCACTGCTCACGTGAGCGAGGCGGTGTCCTCAGTCGGCTGTGGCGCATGCGTACAGGAGGTGAGCCGCAGGAGGCCGAGGCGCGGTGAGGTTGAACTCCAGGGGTCTCAGCCCTGGTGGGCTGGATCTGAGTCGGGGCGACGGGGTTGGCGCAGACGGCTGTCGGAACGTGACCGCGCTCGGCCGCGTCGGGCTCGCGGCCCAGGCTCGGCCGGGTTCGGGTGCTCCACGCTGCCCCTGTGCGGCCGCGGATTGTCCCGAGTCGGCGTGTGGGAGGACTGCGACGGGCGGTGGGGGCGGCGCTGGCCAGGCCCGGAACCGCCGACCGGCTGCCTGGGCCCTCCTCTCCCCTTCCTGGGGCCCTCACGCTCCGAGGGCGTGCGCTTTGCTTTTCCAGGGAGGCGTTAACCTCGCCCGTGGGCGCTCCACCGGCAGCAGTGTCCGGAAGGAGATTGGGTTGATATTATTTTTTTGTTGTTGTTCGGTCGGTGGAAGATGTTGGCATTTATGTTTGCCTCTAAACGAATGTTTTGCTGGCAACTTAAATGACTTTATTTCTCTTAGAAACGGTATATATTTTCTCCCTCAGGTGCTCATATCCTTAATTTTCATGACACATCTTGACGACAATATATGCCAAAGATATATAAGGATGATAACTAATATAGTTATATTGAGCCTGATCATTTGCATTTCTTTAGCTTTCTGGATTATGTCAATGACTGCAAGCACCTATTATGGTAAGTATGAATGTCCTAAATTGTTCTTCTATGATCTAATTGGTGGAATTTTAAATTGTGCCCTTGTAAAGTCCAAAACTGATATCCTCTTTAATTTCCTAACACGATAATATAAGCAAGTGCCTTGAATGTTTTAAAGCCTTTAATAAATGCTTGTTGTGATAATACTGGTTTTGCCTATTTCAGAATGTCCTTTTTTTTTTTTTTTTTTGTTTTTTTTTTTT